CAATTATTTTTCTTCAATCTATCTCCGGCTTATATACTAAAATAAGAGGGCGTCTAGCAAACGCTGGGACATTCGTGAGGTTGCCCACTAAGTCACGATCCTTCTAGAAACCCCACTGTGCATGCTCCCAGCGTTGCATGACTTGACTTCCGCTGTTGTAACAATATGGAACTGTCTTAATTCTTCTTTTATTTGTAACATGGTTGATACCTACATGGCCTATCTTTTGTAAATTTTGGGTTATACTTCACTATTTTTTTTTATATATAATATTTGATTACTTTCTCATCACTGAATACAATTCAGTTCGAGCTAGATGGCATTCAGTAGCTCTGGATAACTTGTCATCTTCTTTGGTTGTCAGTTACGACAGCGGAATCACGTGACGCTGGTAACATGTCATGAGATTCTCGAAGGATCGTGACTTTTCCTGGCAACTTTAGTCTTTTCCAGGCGCCCTCTATTTTAGTATATAAGCCTGGCAAATAATTGCTAATGGATAGATATAGAGACAGATCATTGAGTCAAGGGAGCGGTAGTGATGGTAATATAAAGTGTGTGTTTTGTTATCAAGATTGCAAACATATTGACTGTGGAAATTCTGTGTGTATTGCAAAGTTGTATTGAGAAAGAATAAACTAGTTTTATTTAAGAACGGACTTGTATCGCTGAAGTTCCTCGGGAAGAATTTATACTGGAAATTAACAAACGACCAGAGACGTAACAATATCTTCCATCATTTCTTCCTTCAAACATTGCATCTTATTTTCATTACTATCAAACTTATTTGGTATAATACTGGTGAGTTACATCTTCCCATTTCATATCCTTAATTTTCCTTCTTTTCATACCTGTTTTGTGGTCTTCCTCATTACAATTTCCTGTTTTTAAACAATAACTTTTCCTCACTGGTTCCTATTAGTGTTTTTTGGGGCCTAATCCTGGTATTACAAAAACTGATCAAAACCAAATCATGAGTATTAAGCCTCCTTGAGGTGGCATAATAATTACTTTCATTCAGTTTCCTGACCTTCAATGGGTCAGTTACAAGCTTGATGGCTTAAAACACTAAAAACTGGGGTTCAATACCCATGGTGTGAAAAGTGCAGATAGCCCATTGTGTAACTTTCCACTCAGACAAAAACAAACCTTTATTTTCTTCTTCTGTATGCTGTTTTGATTGTTTACCCTTTGAGAATGTGAAGATTCAAAGTTTATTAAATGGAGCTTTTATTAATAGTTTCAGACCCTTACCTCATTATTTTGGTTGACTTGTTTTTGTATGTCTTTCTCTTAAAATTGTCTACCTTTTTTCTGGTAGGGGAATTTAATAGCTTGAATATTTTCTTTTTCTTACATACCTGTTCTGATTCATCTCATTTCTCAGAAGCTCTTTGCTCTAGTTTTGGGTTTCTTCATTCAGGTTTGCTACAGCTATATATGTTTCATTTTCACTTCAAGGGTTTTGTAAAGTTTCTATGAAATCTCGCTATTCATTTTCAATTGCATAATTGGTTTCTGGTTTATCCCACATATCATTACTCTCTCTTGAAAACCTGCCTGATCTAGATATTTGTATACTTTGAGATAGTTTATGAAAACTAAGTTTCTCCATTCACAACTCACTTCACCCTCTCTGCATTAAAACATTTGTGCGAAATACCTATATGTCATCATTTGCATGTCATACAATCTCTACTTGGCCTTTGTTTCCATAACTTTGTAACTGAACTTGTTACATTTTTTTTACACTTTGTATTTTCCCATTATGCCTTTCCTTTATTATGCTGTGAGGTAATCAGAACTTGCATGAGTTTTAATGGTTTTTTTGAAAAAAAATTCTTGTTTCCCAGAATATTTTAAATGGAATGAATTTGAAATTTATTGTTACATATAAATGTGAGGTTTCTAATTCTCCATCTTGAATTCCTCTTTTTTTTTTTTTTGATAGGTATTTGATTGGAGAGTTGTTAGCTTCCCAATGTGTTGTTGCACACCTTTGTCATTATGAATTTGTGAATTTGGATAGGGCTGGTTCTGAGAAAAAGGATTGTGTTTTTCCTCTTAAATTTTTTGTAATGGATGGCATTTCTTAGTCACTAAACAGCACGTTTCTGCTTTAATCCAGGATTGAGTAGCAGTTACAACTTTTTTTTAATTTTCAACAATTTCTTTCTTCAGCTGAAATTATGGTTGAGGTAGTGCATTCTTAGAATTTCCTTCTGACTGTTTATTGGGTTTTTTGGTGTACCTCTTTGCTATTATGTCCTAGGCATTGGCCTTATCTGTCTGGTTTTCTAGTATGTTGGATTTCTTGGCCTGGGAAGCCTTGCTTTGGAGTCTCTCGTTTTCCGGCCTGCTCTTTTTAAGAGGATTATGCAGCTTGTTCCAGTATTTTTTAGTGTATTTTTCATTTCTGTTAGCTTCTAGCCATCATTGCTTTCAACCACTTCATTCCACCCATTTTTATCATTAATTAGCTTATCTGTATCAAATCAGTGTTTTTTTCCACAACTAAGGGCCAAAATGGATTTTCTCCCATTATCTTTTTTTACTTATTTCCTTGGAGATGATCATTCTGACCCATATCATCTCTTGTATCCTCCTAAAATGGTGCTGTTACGTCTCCGTTTGTTAATTAACTTTCCGTAACTTCGTTCCGACGAAACATTAGCGACACAAGTCCTTACTTAATAAAACTGGTTTATTCTTTCCTAATACAACTTTACGATACACTTATTTTCAACAATTGCTCTATAACAAACGCTATGTCAACAATACTTCTGACTGCAGTTCAATTACTCACTATCTACACACACATTATTATCCCGTCACGTTGTCACCCTCTTTCATATACCAGAGCATTCGCCAAGGTACAGGATAGTTCCAGAAAACAGGTGGCGCCACACCAGCCACGTGACCTCGATGACGCAACAGTGCATTACTTCATTGCTCAGACATAGCATTGATGCATGATGGGGGGAGGGAGTCATACACATCTGTTGTCTTTGCTAATAGATCTGTCTGCTTCTTCTTTCATATGTCAGTTAAAGCTTCTCATATCAGCATGTCTTACAAATTCATTACCAGATATTTCAGGTCTTATCTCACCACCTGATATACCACCTTTCTGTGTGTTTTTTAGTTGCAGTAGTTTGGTTTTTTTTGGAGGACATTGTACAGAGACTAGTATGTTGAGGTGCTCTTGTACTTCTGCCATTCTTTATTTGCATCATATTTATATGATTTGATATTTGTCATCTTGCAGTGGCCCAGAGTCAGCTTCACCAATCTTAATTTGCTCCTTATTTCTTTTTGCACTATCCACTTGTTTGGCTAACTGCAGCAGTCACATAATCTCTACTTTTTGGTAGACTGAATGATACATACACTGCCTGTTCTCTCCATCCATGACAGATACTTCATCTTCCTCCATACCCTCCTTCTCTTTCAATGTGGGGTTATTATATGAGAATAAAGTAGAGGAAAACTACTGTATTTGAAATTAAAATATAAGCATTAAAATGAAGGTCAATGAAATACCTCTACTATAATTAATCCTACCCTCTTCTCCACATCTTTCAATTGCAAAATGTGGTTATTTAAAATTGTAAGTTATTTACATAAAGGCTTTGTACCTCATGATAGATGATGATTGACCTGTGAGTATGATGATAGATGGTCATAACACATAGTTAATTTGCATAAACAAAAGTTATACAAATCTATGAAGAGGTGATGGAGCCCCCTACTGGCTCAGTAGTAAATTGGGTTTCAATACCTGTGGTGGGCAGAGCATAGAAAACACATTGTGTAGCTTTGAGCTTAACAACAGATCAATCAAGCAACCACGTGGTGATGGAATGAGGTGTAAATGAAGAAAGTAGGTTTATTTCATGGAATGAACCAGAAGCTATTAGTTAACTGTAGAAGTATTTCTTTGAGCTTCCATTTCCACTTTAATTGTTAATTTAGGATATTGTTATCAATATTCTGTTATTTTTCTGAATGCATTTATCTTTTTTTTTGCATCCTCTATCTGAAAAAGGAAGGTAATATACCCATGCTACTCTTGGCTCAATTTCTCATACCCTGCCACTATTTTGCATATTGTTACGTCTCCGTTCGTTAGTTAATTTTCCGTAAATTCTTTCCGACGAAACTTTAGCGACACAAGTCCTTTCTTAAATAAAACTGGTTTATTCTTTCTGAATATAACTTTGCGATACACTTAATTTCAACAGTCCGCTATAATTCTCAACAACGTCTCACGTGCTCGACTTCAACAATACTCCGTTCAATTACACACACATTGTTGCCGTCACATTGTGAGCATCTTATATATACCAGACTACCCCCAATCTAGTAGTCTCTCGATAATTCATGAAGGTTCGAGAAGGACGTGGCATGATATTAGTCACGTGACCTCGCTGACGCAACAATATTTTACCTTCAGAAATGCTATACTTACCTTTCAACAGAATTAAGAGCTATTACCTTGTGCATCTGCTGAGAAAGTTATTGCATATACCAAAAAATTGTAATAACACTCTCATTCCTACAGATATTAACATGGACTATGCTAGTCTATGATGTAATCTTTAGACTATAGCCCTCAGAGTGTCACATCCTTCATGCACAGTAAACTTTGTGACCACTAGCATTTCAATAAAGCCTCCTTCATTTCCTTGCTACTGATTTGTTCAGACAAGTTTGTTCTTAAGTATTAATAGAATTCTTGCACTTATTGTTCAAAAGTTTCATTACCATTCTTAGTGTGCTTTTCCTCCCTTTTGGGTTCTTGATTATGAGAAGGAAAGATACAACACTATTGGCTCAACAGTAAGTTTGTGTGCTCACACCACTAAAAACTGAATCTTGATACTCGTGCTAGGCACAGCATAAATAGCCCATTGTGATGCTTTATGCTTTACAAATAAGCAATTTAGAACTTTGATTTAAATTCTCTTAAATTTTATTTTTCCTTTTCATCAAATTTGTAATTTTGGAACACTTGCTTTATTGTCTGTGATAAGGTTTCTTTGACAGTATTATTTCCTGTTGTTTTAAGTACTTTTAAGTTTCATCATTACACTGATGACCTAGGACTATGTACCTTATATAAAGTAGGCCAAGTATGAAAAAAAAAACGATTGCACAGTTTTGTGGATCATCTAGATTTATGAATACATATTTTCATGTTTCAGATATCATCCAAGGTTCTGCATGACACTCCTCAACAGGAGTTATTCTGTATTGTACTTGTGTCTAGAGGCAATCTGATGGTCAGTGATGCTACTGCCATTGTGTACCATGTGGTTGGTTCTATTCTAACCTTATATTCAGGATTCCCAACCTTCTGTTTCTGTTACTTCAAATGACCAGTTGTTTCCTTGCTTTCTTTTGCTTCTTGTTCTATCCTTCTTATGAGGATCAAGTAATCTTACCTTTTGTCCTTCACTGCTTGGATTACACATGTATGAATCCTTTGTTTTCATGTCATTTCTACATGTTTTCAGGTAGTTATTGCAACTTTTGTCACTTATAATTTTAACTTTGACCTTTACTTTTTATCATTGGATATCTTACTGTTCTTCTCAGCACTTTTTGTATTCTTCTGATCCAGACATTTTTCTGATGATATCCATTAAGATTTATTATGTTCTTTTTTAAATTACCATTTCTTATATTTCTGAACCACTTTCACTGTTCTTTATGATAATTCAAAATTGTCTTTTAAGTTCTTACCACTTGTTAACTTCTTGTTTGTATTGGAAGTTATTTCTTTCTGCTTTAGGGTCATGCCTTCAATATAACAATCATTTTTTTACCTCCAGGTCTGTTTGTTCTTAATTTCTAAACTCTAGAGCTCAGGAAGGACAAGAGTATTTTAGTTACAGTGCTCTATTTGTTTCCTGATTCTTATTTTTTTGACAGAACAGATATAATCCATCTTCTTGATTCTGCCAGGACTAATATAATACTTACTTTGTCATATAGAGCTTTTTCTATCAGTTTTACTTATATCGTGTTTCTGTTAGCATTTGCTTTTTGGATTAGATCCCTTTTAATTTTCTTGCTAGTAAAGTACTTCATCTGTTACATAGTTTGTCACTTTTCTAATTCTTTAGCTTCACTAAAATATATTCTATTCATTGGTATTTAGACCTTTACTGTAATTTTCCTCTTATTTCCTTTTTGTCTTGTAGCAGAAGCATGAATGTTTTTTACATGCTAGAAAGTGGGTTTTGATACCCATGGTGAGCAGAGCACAGATAGCCCATTGTATAACTTTGTGCTTAATTACAAATAACAAACAAAAACTGTTTTTTACTAACCTCTTATATTCATTGTAATGCTAAATCTTTGTCTCTTCACCTCCTTTTGACAGGCTGGTTACCAATTTTTATCATCTGTAGTGTTATGATTTTCTGTATATATAACCCTTGCTCTTAATGTGACTGTTTTGAATATTTTTTCCAGTTAAATGTTTTATCTAAGATAATTCATAACCCTTTAGCTCCCTAAGAAAACAATTCCTCGGGTATGCTCTGACTGAATCTATTATTCCCAATGTACAAACAAAAGCCTGTTTGTAGTTTTCATAAGAATAAATCTTAACCTATGTCTTGGCAAATTTCTTCTGTTTAGTTTGGTAAGCTCATTTTTTTAAATGTTTTTCCAGAGAGGGAAACTATATTATCCACAAAATTGAAATCAGTCTGTTCAAAACTTGCTTCTGCTCCATGCTTCTTCCTCTTCACATTCAGATTTTACTTTTGGTTGATTGCCTTATGTAATGGTAACTGAAATAAAAATAGCATAGTAAATGTTATGAAAATGACCATTGACTTCAGGAAAAATGCTATGTACTTATCGACATTTCACTTTGCAGCTTGTTTTTCAGGAGTGCTTTATAAAACTTTTTTATTACTTAATCCCACTTTTCTAATAATGTAACAACAGTCTAATTTTTGTAACATATTCTGATATTGAGTGAGTTCTTTTGTATTATTTAGCAAAAACAATTCAAAGTCCAGTCCAGATAATAATAATGAATTCATTTATTTCTTCTTCTTTAACCTTTTCTACAGACTACTTTCACTTGTAGGTTTAACTTCACAGACAATGTTTGAACAGAAATTTTGTTATGCCTAACTTACAGATAAACATGCTTTTTAACTTTCTTCTAAATAGCTACTAATTAATAAACACACTAACTCGCTCACTATTTCGATTAATAACTGAATTACAGAACTGAATAACTCACTGACTGGCACTGAACTGATTCACTCTCGACTCATTGAATACTTTACCGACACACTGAGTCTTGTATTTATTCTGTCCTCTTATGACTATGTTGTTTTTGTAATTATATATGTTTAATGTAATTTCACATTTTTTCACTTGAATGATACACTTTTTTTCATTTGATGACAAAAAGTATTTTAGCTTTTTTAGCACAGATTTTTATAAAAGAATTTATGAGTTTAAATAAGCTTTACACATACCTGTATCATTTTATAAGTATAACTCACTTATTTGTAAAATAAAGTACAAATGAGAATTTTTATCAGTTTTATATTCCTTTCTTCTTATAGTATATACCTGAATGGAAGAAATTACCTTTGGAGTGTCCTGAGCCCGTCAGTCGTTTACAGAAAGTCAAGCACCAGAAAGCCCAGCTGAGTTTTTCAGGTTTTGTAGATTACCTTGATGATTTTGAACTAGAAAAATTGTTGCTGCAAGAGAAATGTTAGTGTATATAATACTTAACTGCAATTGAGTATTGCACAATTGATAGTAGAATTTAAGTAATGCGATGAATAACTGATGTGATATACTGAACATCACTGGCTGTGTGAGAGACAATTTTTTTTACTCTTAAGCCTTCATAAGTAACTTCAGCAATAAATGATAGCACTGTTTGTTTGTTTTGAATTTTGCGCAAAGCTACACGAGGGCTATCCGCACTAGCCATGCCTAATTTAGCAGTGTAAAACTAGAGGGAAGGCAGCTCGTCATCACCACCCACCACCAACTCTTGGGCTACTCTTTTACCAATGAATAGTGGGATTGACTGTCACATTATAATGCCCCCACAGCTGAAAAGGCGAGCATGTTTGGTGTGACAAGGATTCAAACCCGCGACCCACAGATTGCGAGTCGAGCACCCTAACTATCTGGCCATGCCGGGCCATAAATGATAGCATGTAACACAATTTTATATGCAGAATGAAGAGCTTATTCCATGTCATTTTTATTATACTGAAATAGAGTAAATGATTGTACATTATTCTCAGTCAACATAACTTGTATCCAGATTTAATGATTGTACATTATTCTCAGTCAACATAACTTGTATCCAGATTTAATGATTGTACATTATTCTCAGTCAACATAACTTGTATCCAGATTTAATGATTGTACATTATTCTCAGTCAACATAACTTGTATCCAGATTTAATGATTGTACATTATTCTCAGTCAATATAACTTGTATCCAGATTTAATGATTGTACATTATTCTCAGTCAGTATAACTTGTATATTTCTGTAAATTCTGTTTTTCTGTTAATGTTAGTATGACAGAAACATATATTTGAAGCTTATTCAGGTCATTCTCACTTGTAACCACTATAATGTAAATATCTATATGGTATTCTCAGGTGAAAGTGAGTTTGCTCAGAATGACGAGATAGGTCTGAAGAATAACAGGTGATTTGACAAGGAATTTATTACAGAGTAGATCCAAATTTCTCTTGAACTGACTGAGATCATGAGAATGAAATTAAAGTTTGAACACAATGTAAAACACAATGAACACTTTATTAATTTTACAGCACTGTACTTTCTTTGTATACTGGGCAATCACTTTTCTCAGACTGACTGGGCTGAAATCATCTACCAGACTGACTAAACATAATGTTAATTACATAACTAAAAATATCAAACTTACCCAGAGTGATTAGCACTACACATGTGACTTTTCTCAGACTGACTGGGCTGAAATCATCTACCAGACTGACTAAACATAATGTTAATTACATAACTAAAAATATCAAACTTACCCAGAGTGATTAGCACTACACATGTGACTGACCATTTCTATTCAAACATAAGGAGTGTTGTAACTTAAAGACATCATCTGGCCTACTACTGAAGGATACTGTTGTTGAACTTCATTTACAAGGTGCAGCTTTACACCCATACTTTCATGGGCAGACCAGGTTTTATCTCAAAAGAATGATAGAGAACAAAGGCAGCTAGAACAAAAGCAACTTAATGGTTTTTTTCACCATGTGTTATGTGAATACTACACATATCAGAATAACTGGCAAACTTTGAATAATACAGCATTAGAAATACGAAGATAGAAAACACATGGTATTCCTACATACCTCATCTATAACACCCTTTTAAATCTTTATGATTGCAACTTTGTCTTGTACTATCAGTGTACTTATTTCCAATTAGTCAATCCCAAGTAAACAAATTAATAAAAAAATGTATTAATGATTGTACATTATTCTCAGTACAACATAACTTGTATTCAGATTTAATTAGTCACTTAAATAACTAAAACAAATCATATGTACAAAATAACAAAAATTCTGTTTTTCTGTTAATATTAGTTATGCATTTTACCACTTATGAGTAACCATATGTGTTATGCAACAGTGCTAATTTTAAACAAGTATAGTTTTTATCATAAAGACATTTGGCAATATTTTGAACTTTTTAATTCATTCAAAACATGTAATTTATTTAGAATTATGAAAAACATGAATTTTTATATTTCTTGACCATTGAAAGAACCATCCAAATAAAAAAATAAAACTTTGATGTAGATTCTGATTGGGAGAAAAATGATATAGATTATTCTACCATGAATAAAAGCAGAATTTCTCATGATACTCCTGAAAATTGTTCTTTCTGTTCAAAGTCAGTACAGCCTTCAAATGAGGTAAAATACCTGTGAAAAATACATACAGTAACATTGTATGCTTAGGAATAAAAACAAGTTACAAAAATATGAAGTGGAGTTAGTAACTATCATTTACTAAAGTAACATGTGAAACAAAAAATTATAATTTATTAACAATTGTTATTCAAATATGCTATAGTCAGTTAATGTGTAAAATATATTGATGATGTAATCCATTGACAGAATGTTTTCAGTTTCTGAAATTATGGTCTACTGGTGCATACTAAGTTTATATTTCTGGAATTATTAGCTTTGTTTAAATATTTTAATATATATATATACAAAAGCTATCACACTTTTAATTTGTTTTACTGGCTTAGTTGAAAGTTGGTAAAGAATTAAATTATCCATAGTTTTGATTTACTATAAAATTAAAAATCAGTTGACTGTAAAAACGTATATATTTATGGGATACATTTTGTGATATTGTATTATTTATTTAAAATATATTTAAATTTTGAGGTTGATTAAAGTATGAGTAATCACAACAAAGTTATTGCTATTATTTGTATAATTAGTTAAATTATCAAGCTGCCTCTTCTTGTTTACTCATAAACTCATATTTAGAATGTAAAAACAAGTAAACATTAAATTAATTACTGATGCAAAATATTCAACAATAGTGATTGTGCCCTTTACAACAAGGCACTCACTTATATGAAACATATCTCTATTGCCAAAAAAATATATAACATACTATATGTGACCCTAAAAACAGATAACTATATAAGAACTTATTTTCAGATTTATTTCATTGTTACCTGTCTTTTAAAAATTTTCTTGGTGTTTGAGTCATAATTATTTATTTGTTCTTTTATATACAGACTTTATGTTGCAAGCAATATAAAGATTATCTTAAAAAAGATGTAGCTATTTCACAAAGCCATTTGAACTTTATTTATGGATCCAAACAGTCTGCAAAAAAGAAGTGTAAGTCTATTATTTTAGGCAAAAATATGAAAAGTTCAGAACCAAACAATGAGCTTCTGGATGAGGAAGAAAGCAAAAGAAGTGGTAGAACTCTCACGTGTAAGTATTTGTAAATAAGTGGCTTTAAACATTGTTTTATTTTGAAATTGTAGTAATGCAGATATAAATATATCTCACTCTTATACCGAATATTTGATAAGTAAAAAAATTTCAGTTTATCCTTAGTTATAATTTGGAACGTACAAACTATGGTTGAGTGCATGCACTAAATTCTGCTCTGAATGATGATTTCTGTAACAGGGTCCAATCATGGAAGTATCTACTATTTCATGGAATACTTATATTGTATTTGCTTTTTAACAGTCACATGGATAAGAGCTACTTCTAGATCCTTTTGATCCAGTTTCTGAATGGTCGGCTACAGAGACAATGTAAATAATGAATTCACTTTGCCATTTTCAGTCAGATTCATTTCTGAGAGAGTTGGTTCATGCTTATGAAATCTCATCTTCTCATATTGTGTTTCTCAACTTGCTAAATTTATACATTGTAATTTTCACAGAAACATCAGTACAGTTTAAATCATCTTTTGATGAATACAAATCATATATATACCTTTTTATTTTATTCTGTATCACAAAACAATAGTTCTATCATGCTGACGAAGACTTGTCTTTGTTTCACTGTGTTTCACAATTTGCTGATTGTGTGCATTGTAATTTCCAGACAAATGTCATCACAGTTTAAGTCATCATTTAATAAATACAGCTCATTTATTTACCTTTTGTTTTATATTCTGTATTATAATACAATAAGTCTACCACCATTCAGTCAGCTTACTTTAGTACTCAGTAATAAAGTATTCTATTCTTACTTCAACTTCATAAATAAGTAGCATTTCAGATAGAGTTTTAGTCCAACCTAAATGATGAGTAGTAGTTAGTACTGAATGAAAGGCGTTGTTACGTCTCCGATTGTTAATTAACTTTCCGTAACTTCGTTCCGACGAAACTTTAGTGACACAAGTTTTTTACTTAATAAAACTGGTTTATTCTTTCCGAATACAACTTTACGATACACTTATTTTCAACAATCGCGCTAAAACAAACGCTACATCAACGAACGTCAATAATACTTCTGACTGCAGTTCAATTACTCACTATCTTCACACACACATTACATTATTCTCCCTTCACGTTGTCACCCTCTTTTATATATCATACTACCCTATATCTAGTAAATACTAGAGCATTCGCCAAGGTACGGGATAGTTCTAGAAACGTTGCGTCACACTAGTCATGTGACTCGATGACGCAACACTGCCCCCTCCTTAATATTGTTCGTCCTGAACAATAACCACATATAATAAACCAATAACAATAACTTAATTAAAATGTACAGAATTACAAACACAAAATTACAATTCAACAAAGTCTCTTAATTTTACGGGACATATCTTCTTCCGTACTGGTCTCCGTCTCGTTGGCTTCTGCTTCATGTGGGATTCATCTGCTTCATCAGTAAATGTCCTATCATCGGTAACAATCACATCAGTGGTAGTAACTTCACCAAGAGCTTCACCGTTTCCCTTCTCAAAACTGAGTAGAGTTTCTTCTTCGACGGTGGCTTCTTCAGGTGGCACGTCTTCAGCAGCGTCATTTGTTCTGTTGTCCACTTCATCCCAACTGAAATGTCCAGGACCGTGAAAACGCCAAAGCCTGTTGGCATGCACCACTTTTGGCTTACCTCGCCGACCACATTTTATCCAGAAAGTCACGTCTGAGAGACGATCCACAATGTCATATGGGCCTTCCCATGGAGAAGACAACTTAGGAGACTTCCCTTTGGTCTTCCTGGGATTATACAACCATACCTTGTCTCCTGATACAAAGCTGACTTCAGTAGATCTCTTATCATAAGTTAACATCATCGAATCAGCAGACGTTTTCAAGTTTGAACGCACTTGATGGTGGATATCATCCATCCTTTCCGGTAACACCATCACAAACTCATTCTCAGGCAACTCTTCATAAGGTGGG